TGTGTGTGTGTGTGTGTGTGTGTGTGTGTGTGTGTGTTTGTGTGTGTGTGTGTGTGTAAATGCTAAACAAGACTTTGTTCATGAAATAAGAGAAATGTGGAAACAATGTGCTTTAGTGCATAGTGTCTATATATATATTATTTTTATATTTATGTCAAATTATTTATAACATAATGTTAACAAATAGCAGTTGAAGTTGTTCCCTGTGAGTTTTTTCCTAGGGCCCCAGCAGACCTTTTGAAAAAGGATGTCTTTCAAAGAAAGCATGTGCTGCATGTGGAAGGACGACACATTTTTGTTCTATTAACATACTTATATTACACAATGCTACAAATCCTAAAGCCTACATCTCTGCAGCATTCATTTCTTTACAGCATACATGCTTGATATATTTAAGACATTGATTAGTTTTTTTTCTCTTTGGTAGTGACATTTACTTTTTCTATTCATGAAAGTTGGTTGACATTACTGTGATAATGCCACATTTGCATTTTAACTATATATACTGAAATATATTGAAAAATATTCTTAATTTAAGGTGTTCAGGTTTTGTTGTGACAAACCCTGATTGACAAAACCTGTGTTAAATTGTTTACCACTAAATACTAGAATAGTATTTTACAATACTTATTGGTGAGCGAAATGCAGTTGGGTTAATCCTGAAAGCAACATAACATAAACAAATCATGTCTGAGTGAAAGTAATCAACTATGGACGTTTTCTGTATAATACTTCCATCTGCTGGTTAAAAGTTTTCCTCTTTTAACCTGAAGTGAATGAATTATTGACCCATCCACCCACCCCAAACTCCTCCCAGCTTAACTTTATGGAGCTTTATATCTGATTCCAACTTTGCTCCTTTCGTAATAACTACAGCCTCTAGGCTACACTGCCATTTCAACACAAATATGTCATTTTTGGAGGAAATTTGCTGAAATGTCATGACCATAGATTCTCGATCAGAATAAGCAGCCTAAAATGTTAAACTGACTATCTTTAAGCCACTTTTCACTTTTCACCTTGTGATGCAGTCACCATCATGCTGGAAAATGAAGAGAATTTCACATAATTGTCCCTAGATGACTGGAAGATGTTAGTCTTTGAGGAAACATCTGTATGATCAAGAAGCAGCCAGATAAGCTGAGGCCCACAGAATGTGGGTTTTGAACACCGATAAGGAAAAGGAGAGGGACCAGATGCTGATAACCTGCATGCTAGAGAGGTGCTGTTATGAGGAAGAAGACTCATCATTATATTGCTGACTCTTTACATGAATGCAATTTATTTGCCAAGACGTTTTTGAAAGTTGTGAAATAATTACTAAATTGGATAAAGATAATAACAGATAAATTTTATCTTTTATCTTATCTTTTATCTTAGATGAGGTAAATGAAAATTACATATACAACAAATTTACCTAAAAGTGGTTGTAGTGGAGAATACATTTGGAGGAGGAGCTGTTCTAAGAAGAAGCAGGAGAGAGGAGGCCCCTGTCTTGATCAGACATATTTTGCTGGATTGAGGTATTACCTGCAATTACCTGAATGCTGCTTGACTGAAAGTGTGAGTTCCTTAGCTTTTAGCGCATTTATTTGATAATCTCACGGTACTTGATAAATTTCACTTCACTTGGGTTGTTTATGTTATTTTACAATCATTAAAGTGAATGTATGCTGTGATATAAGAAGTCGTTTAGCGAAAAAAAAGCAGCATCAACTCTATCCTACCACAGCTGAAGAGGACTCTCCCACAGTGTTGATCACAGTGTCTATATCACCCTCTTCTTAAACAGCAAACATGAACCGAATAATGATGTAATGGTGATGGGTTATATTTGATAAGACTGACCAGCTTATAAATGTGATCTGAGGCCGAGCTTAGACTACTTGTGCAGAACTCACTCTATTTAAAGAGAGCGCTGTTTGGCTGCTGCTCAAGGAGCCCATTCTTTTCTTTTTCTTCTGTTTTCTTCTTAAAGGAAATTAGCTTTTGAAACTACCAATAAAGTGAAAACATTATCTTAGTCCTGCATTATTCATTCAATATAAAACACTGAATTAATGATATTTCTTTGTCCTGCGCTTCTAAAATGGTCCCATTATCCTTTATTTCGTTAAATATTTTGAATGAGAAAATATGCTCACAGCAGGCGACAGACATTGAGTTTGAGGATGTTTTAAAAATCGACATCAAATGCTCTGTCATTAGAAGACGAAAGGAAGGAGACCGACAGACTCCACTGCTGCTCTGCGCAGATGGACGTATGTAGAAGACCAGAGGAAGGATTAATTAATGGACACCAGACAGAAGTCTGTTACGGTGTCAGCCCTTAATGTTTTTAGACGGCCGAAAAGATGCTGATCAAATTAAAGCATTTCCATACAGAAGACGGAGAAAAGACGCCCTTTGAAAATATTTACTTTTGATTTTGATGTAATCTAAATCTAATTAATTTTACAAGCTTTGGTTTCTAAATCGAAAACATAGTTGTTCATTACAAGCTGTCAAATACAATATATTTTTGTCTTTATTTGCTGTATGTTACATTTTCATTACGAGTTTAACTTAATTAGCCCCGTGTTATTCCAAACCTGTTGTTGATTTTGCATGGTTTTGTTTTAATTTGATATATATTATTTACCAGTTTACCCCGCCTACATGTTCTAAAAATGAAACGTTCATGCATGTTTTTATTATTATTATTATTATTATTATTATTATTATTATTATTATTATTATTATTATTGCAGTGAAATGTAAATTATACAAATAATAACGGAATTAACTTCCTTATATTTCTCTGTATATATTTTGTATTTTTAACCTGCTATTTTATTTCTTTAGTCAAAGGTTAATTGACGCTTAAATCACCAATAATTCCCATTGGTTTCTGTGAGCTACCAGCTCCGCCTAAAGTGATTGTTTTATATACAGTAGGTTATTGTTCTAGTTCTTTTTCTTTCTCTTCTTCCAATGGACAGGTAGACGTAATAGTTTTAATCTAAAAAAAGTATCTTTCAGTTTCATTCTGCACTTTTATACCTTGAGGAGCTGATTTAATTGTTGAATGAAAATGGAAACCTTGGGAGCAGTAAGACGGGTATTTTTTTATTTGTTTCAAATGTGGAAAACCTTAAAACATGATTTTACAGGTGATTTTTTTTTTAAAAAAAAAAGTCGTGCATTAAATTCCCCCGTAGAATGAAGCGTAAAGGCAATGATCGTGAATACTGCTGTGCATAAAGTGCCAATGGAGCCTCCATATCCTTCGTCCTATCAAACAGAACAGGGTTCTATTAGTTTACACTTTAGAAGTCCTCAATTCTCAGGTTTGAGCTCTCCTGCCCTGTCCTACCCAGGGGTCCTCCCTCCTTAGCGCCTTCCTTCCCTCCCCTCCGCCGTTCCCACCCAGGTCTACATCAGAGCGCCGATCCGTGTCACGTGTTTTACTCCCGTACAAATTTTCCAGTAGGAGAGCGAATAGGCGCACACTCATAACAGCAATTATCAGCGACAGTACCTATCTCCAGATATACGCAGAGGAAGAAGAGCGCTTCAGTGATCCGGACTCCCCTTCCCCCTCCCCCTGGAAAAAAATCATTTTACTTTTGCTTACATTTATCTTCCACCACTTGTGAGCAACTTTAACGCACTAAAACCGAGATATTTGGAGAGGCTCGGCTGAGCTCCATCGTCTGTCTGCGTGGGTACGGAGGGAGAAAGTTTGCCTACTGCGCTTGTATGCTGAAAATTTTGACTGGTAAAAGACCAGACTGCTTTATCACCCGACCGTCCTTATCTGGTGAGATAATGCACTGAGAGCCCTTGGAAAGAAACTGCGTTCCTCTTGTACACGGCGCAGAACCATTATCAACGTTTTATGTGTTTTGGTTTACTATTGATAGAAAGTATGTGCATCGCAGATATGGAAGGGGAGCTCGCTATCTTTTGTGGTGTTTGATTGGGTTTCCGTTTCTGATTTAATGAGCCAACTGCGGAGGCGCAGGGTGTGTGGGGTTGCTGATAGTCGCCTCCGAGTGCGCAGATATCCTTGATCATTAATGTCATTCTAATCCATTTCATGTCTCAAGGTGATATAGGTGAAATATGTCTGACGCGGACTGTCGAACTTTCCTTTTGGCATGGCTCATTGATTGGGGAAAAATAGGTTTTATTTTTGCGCAATAAAGCTTACAGGCTGGGTGGGTGGATCAGTTGCCCATGAAACTTTTCCAGTGTTTTTTCAGCTATCTTCTTTCTCTGTACATTTGTAACAATGCAGGATTCACATCAAGGCACAAAAGTTCCTCAGGAGAGTGTGGATGAGATTTGTGGACATCTCCGCAGTACTGCGACTGGCTGAGGAAGCCCTCCCCGTGTTTTTCCAGTTTTCCGCCAGGAAGCAGATTTTAAAGAGAGAAAAATGTATCAAAGCCTGGCCTTTTCTTCCAATCAGTCCCATTACACGCATGACACCGGAAATTACATCCATCCCTCGGCCAGCTCTCCCGTCTACGTCCCTTCCACCAGGGTTCCTGCCATGCTGCCAACCCTGCCCTACCTGCAAACCTGCGACTCGCCCCATCAGTCTCACGGCCTCAGTGGTCATCACGGCTGGCCACAGGCCGGCACAGACGGCTCTTCCTTCACGCCCAGCAGCCCCCATCCCTCACATGGATTCTCCTACTCGCACAGCCCGCCCGTGAGCACCAACACCGGGCGAGATGCAACCTACCAGAGCCCGCTGGTTCTCGGAAACGGAGCTCGCGCTGACCAGTACGGAGGCGCTCTGGTGCGCTCGGTCGGAGGTTCCTACTCCAACCCGTACGCCTACATGAGCCCCGAGATGGCGACATCCTCCTGGACGCCGGGACATTTCGAAAGCGGGGTGATCAGCCTGCAGGGCCGACAAGGTGGTCTGTCGGGGAGAAGATCCAGTCTGGGTAAGCACATAAATCAAGTTTCTAAAACTATTGTGAAATCCCAGTTCCCTCTGATTTACTGGAATTTTTAAAATTATTTTTTTAACGAAGTATGAAAGACTGACAGTAAATATTTTTTATTCATAAAATAATTTGTCATAATTTGATCATTTTTAATCTGTTTTAATGGGGGTTTGCTGTTTTGTTTTTTTATAGCCACAAGATCATATTACCGCTTGAAAACACTCGTAAGCTAAATTGTTGCATTTTCCTTCCAAATATTAAGAACATAATAACAATCACGTCAGTCTATGCTTGCTTTATGTCTTCTAATTATTGGCTGCTTAATGTCCAAATGTCAGCATCAATAAGACGAATTGAATATTCTGAACATTTTGTTCGTGGAAACGGTGTTGTTGTTGCTCCACAATCATTGTTATTGTTTTTAACATGGCAGAGGTTCTTTTTAAACCTCATTTATCGGTTGTAAAGGCCAGGCAGTTATTTATTACAGCGGCTGACAGAGAGGCCTGTAAACATAATGCTTGTGTCATGCGGTCGGTGATTGAATCAAAGTCCCCTAACAATCCCACATTAGATTTAAACAATACACATCCATGAAGAAGAGAGTGACGTTAAAAGAGGATCGATTAAAATGTTAATTTAATTCCCTGCTTTAATCACGACATTCAATACACACGGGGAGAGAAAAGCCCAGTGAAAAGGGCCACTGCCGTGACAATAAGAGCGGTTATCACCTTGATCAGACAGTCGAAACGTCTCTAAGTGTAGCCGTCAGCATTTATTTGGAGGCCACGTGTTGGATCGGGGAGACAGGAGTGTTTGAAGTTCATGATTTAGAAGAGTTTGATGGTTTGACACCACTTAAAAATGTTAACAGATAAATGAAACCCAATTTAACTCTTTAGTGTATTGTTGGTTTAATTAAAGAATCCATTATTATAGAAAGGCTCAACAGTGAGTTCAAATGGGTTTATCTTTTCATTAGGTAAACATGATAATTGAACATATATGTTCATAGAAGAATCTCTTGCAGTATTCTTAGTGGTAACGTATTAATATCCTCATAAACTAATGGGGGATCTCTGGCCCACATTTGTTAGTGGGCCCTTTTTTGTAGGTCCCAGGATTGACATGGATGTTTTACATATCAGGCATTTAAATTTGTGCACAAAGGAAAACAAAACTAGTCGGTCTTTATGGCCTTAAATACTTGGGCAGAGTTTATTGTCAGAACAGTCTTGATAGTTAAAATGTGTTAACAATAAAGTTTCCATCGCCCCTATAAAGAAAAAAAAAAACATTTATTGGTGCAGTTTTGCTTCTTTCCTGTTTTCTTTTAATTTGATTGACGGGGACGAAACAAGCTTTGATGTTTTGTGATACTGCAGTTAAATATTTCAAAAACGATTAAATAATCACTGGGTAGAGCTAAAGTTTAATGACAAAGCAATAAAGCGCACAGCCGATTACTTATTATAAGTGCATTAACCAAATCAACATTTGGGGACTTGAACGCAGGCACGTGCAGAGGGGGGGGCTAGAGGGGCTTGAGCACCCGCCCCTTTCCTGATGGGTGCCCAAAGTGCCCTTTTGTTGAGGCAACTTTTTAAAAAAAAAATATTTATTTTTTTTAATGTGTGTGTGCGTGCGGAGTCCTGTCTGTGCCCCTCAACAATAATATTTAACTATTAATCACAGTTTTGCTAAATTAAAGGATCTGGCTTGCATCAGTCACATGATCACATTTAACCAATGATCGCCCTTGACGGCAGAACGCGCTGGTTACGAGCCGGGAACGAGCTCACAAAGAGCACGCGCATTTTTAGCGGTCCGGAGCTGTAGGAGAAACACAAACTAACTCAGAGACACAGACTGATGCGACAAAACCAGTAAGTAGGTGTACAGCGTACACTGTAGTGTATAGCACACAGGAGTATTAGCTTATTACGTACACGTTGGTAAGCTGTCTTGTTGCAACTGACGAACTGAAACAAACGAGCGTGCCGTGTGTGCAACAGCGCGACAAACATTACCTGTCCTTTTATTAACTGCACAGGTAGTGCTGGTCATAGCTGCTGGCTACCTGTGTATGGCTGTCATGGGTCTGTAGCTCTGTCACCGTTTTAGGGAACATATTTAGTTTTAAAGTAAGTTTCCGGGCTTTTCCTGCCTTTCTGGAGGGATTATATTTCACTAAAAAACGATCTAATATGCATGTCCACATAATTATGCCTTATTATAATTATAATATTTTAAAAAACACACGCTGTATTTTAAAGAACATACATTAAGAAGCAGATTATATTAGATTTATATTTTAAATAAGACAAAATTAGGATTTTACAGCAGTAAAATTATTGTATCTCTACAGTTTAAAAATGTAATAAGCTTTGCTCCTGCACAGAGTGGATAGTGAAACAAATGGAATCATAAATACATTATTTCATATTTATTACTTCTCCCTCCTCATTGCTTTATTATTGTAGCTCTAGTAATAAATAATAATGTAAGGATTCTGGATCAGCACCGTGATGCCCATAGTATATACAGTATTCTGAAGAAGGTCTAAAATGTCACTGTGTGTGCGTGCATGTGTGTGTTTTATTTAGATGGATTAAAAATATATATATTACTCATGATATAACATTGTCCAGACATGCCTGGTAAGGACATGAGGAGGGAACAGTAGGAGCTGTGTGAGGCTACTAAAGGCAGTGCTATAACATTTTTCTGTCGTCATTTTATTATAGATTAAGTGCAAGAGTTGTTAGGTGTGGATAATTAGATTATAGTTTAATGCAATAGCAAGTTGTGCCTTGTTCTCAGATAGACAGCAAGTGGAGGGTGATATATGAAATGATGGGATGGAAGGAAGAAGAGAAGCAAAGAGTGATTCACAGGCAGAGCCTAAATTATTTCTCACAGTTTTTTTGTTGCCTTATGGTTCCAAGCGCTGTCACCAATCTTTGCATTTTGTTATTATTTCATGACACTTGTTTAATCAGCTACCATCTCTCCTATGGACTTTTTACTGTCTACAGTCTCAGATCAACACAGCCCTGCCCTTCCCATATTAGATTCTTGATGAATGTGTGTTGTTGTTTTTCAGCCTGGTTCAATGTGCCCCTTTTTAACTTTGAGCACCCGCCCCTTTAAACCTCTCTGCACGGCCCTGCTTGAACGCATAAATTATTTTAATTTGAATAAAAAAGAAACATTTTCAGGCAAGGGGATGAGTCTAACCATGAGGCTATTTAACTTATGGGACGTTAACTTGTTTTACAGAGTTCATTTATCTCATCATGGCTAGTTTTATCATTTTACTACTCATAGATGACTATAAACGCTAACTCACTTTCTAAGCGCATGTATTTTTTATGTAACATATGTGTTTAGTTTAAGGGTTGTCATGTTCTAAAGCAATCTAGTGTTTTGATCTCAAATCCAAATTCCCATGTCATTATTTCCAACCCTAAGCATTGGAGATGATGATTATCTTTAGGCTGACTGTGAAGATTAATTTGGACCGTTTACGGAAACATAAACCCATTAATTCTTCTCAGTCATCTTAAATATGAATAACTAGTAGAAAATCTTTCGGTTAATATTATTCATGTAAAGTGTTTGGTAATTAAAACGCAATGACCCAGATAGCCCAAATCCGTTGCGCATGCGCTCCTTTTCAGTTTTACTCGCCCTTTATTTTGTGATGAATTCTTTTCTTCCGAAATGATAAGAAATACAATCACAAGTTCAAAGGGTGAGTCCGGGACAGCTTTGTCCCGACGGTCGTGGTCTACCACAGGTCTGGCTCGCTCTTTCTGTCTCGCTTTCTCTGGTTTATCGGTGGAGGGATTAGGTATTTGAGCAATTAATGCCAGGAGTCCGCAGTGTGTCAGAGAGTGATGAATGTGGAGGTTGAGGTGATGGCGGAGGGTGTGTGTGTGTGTGTGTGTG